TTAGTGCTGAAATATGTCTACATACTTTTTGTACTGCAGGAATATTACATGAAATTAAAATCAAAACAGTCCAAATTATTTTTTCATTCTTATTTTCAGTAGTAGAATCTAATATTACTTCTTTCAGCAATTATTATAGCACTAACTGGACCATCGTCATGTTACGAAACCTTTTCTGGAGATCACAATCTTAATGCCTATCAGATCGGCATATGAATTGACTTCTTATAAGAAATGACGCTTTAGCAGATCATGGTGCCAGATACCATATTAATTCTATTCAACTGTCTTCACCTGGAGTTGAAATAGTATCTTGTGATCTGACCTGTGGAGCATTGACTACTGTACTATAGATCCACAGGTTTTTTTAATATATTATATAATTTGTTAACTATTTGCTTTTCATATAATATAATATACTTATATTATATTATATTTGTATTATATTATACTTTTATTGTATTATAATTTAGCAATGTAAAATTTAAACAACTTTTTTTATTTTAGTTATTTTAAATATTAAAAAAGCATTTAATTTTAACTTTACTTAATAAAAGTTTAAGAAAAAAGTCTAAAATAAAAATTCACTGCAATTGTAACAAGTATAATAGATTACTTGTTAATATTCAAATTGAATTTTCTCATAGATATTAGAAATCCAAAAAAAAAGTTATAACAAAACAAAATTAATATTTTGATAATCTATAAATCAATAGTATAGTGGTCAATGTTTCCAGGTTCAAATTACAAGATATCAGTTTAACTTCAGGTGAAAACAGTTAAACAGAATTAATATAGTATCTAGTGCCATGACCTGTTAAGTACCGTTTCTTATAAAAGAATCCAATTTATATGCTGATCCAAGTGGGCATCAAGAATGTGATCTCCAGGAAAGGTGTTATGGCATAATGATTATTCAATTGATATTACAATAATTATTAAAAATGAAAAGATATATGAAAATATTCAAAATAAAACAAGTTGATGTAGTAATTTTTTCCCGTGGTATCTGATGTCTCTTCCTGAAAAGTTTATCAGAAGAAAATTTATCTCTATAGATTTCTATTAGCTGAAATAGGTTATGGTAATATAATACATAATAAATAGGATTAAATAGACAATATATAGAATTGAATAAAGTTAAATAAGATTCAGAGTTAAAAAAAAATTTAGTCAGAAAAAAATAAAAATAGTAACAGATTTAATCCGAATGGTTAAAATTACCTGTGGATAGATTTTAGTTAATATAAGAATTAATATAGTATAATTTTTAGATCTATGTAATATATGTAAAAAACTTTTATATTAATAAAGATTAAAGTAAAGTCTCACTTAATTAATTAAAAAAAAAAAAGAATTTATATTTTGATCCAAAATAAAAAACATTTGACAAAATCAAACCATATTTTTAGATAATAATCAGAAAGTCTAATATAAAATCCTAATAGTTTTGATAACAATATTTTTGATGTTAATATTATTGATACCAATATATTTAATGGTGATATTACTGAAAATAATAATACAACTTTTGATAAATTAAATGACCTATTTAAAGATTATTTAATATCAAGTTTTTCAGATTCTAAATCACTAGACCAAATAAATTTATTGATATTAATAGTTGATTTATATAGATTTTATTATAAATTATAAACTTTAGAATAAAATTTAATTTATTAGATAATATGATAGAAGTATTTCTAAAGTTTATGAAATTAGTCTTAATTAAAATTGATGATAACAAATTTGAATCTTTTTATGGATCTTTATATACTATCAAAAATTTTCTTAAATTATCAAATCAATTTGTCAACTTTGTAGCATGCCAAAAATGTCACAAGTTATATAAACAAAATGAAGTGATCCATTTTCAACAAAACAATTGACCATTTATCATAAAATGTATTCATATCTAAATATTATTTTATTTAAAGCAATATCAAATGACTTATATATAGTTCAAGTTTCAAAAAAAATATTATAGATTGTAACTTCTAAACAAGATATATAATAACAATAAAATTTTAAAAATATTAATCCTTTGCAATCTTTACATGCTTGAAAAATAAGCATTAGCTATGTTAAAAATAATAATCGATTGTATAAAATAAAAAGAATTACAAAAAATTCAAATAATTAATTGGAATCCAAAATTAATTAAACAAATAATTATATTAGAAAACTATAAAATAGATTTTATAAAGTTCTATTTAATAATAAGTTTTCAATAATTATTATTTATAATCAAATGGTTTGCTTATATAAATTTTTACAAATGATTTACTTTGAGCAAAAGAACAAAAAAAAATAAAATAAAGATAGATACTGTTCAAATCTAGATCCAAGAATTAATTCTTTTTAGTAGTTTTCAATATAAAGTTTAAAACTGTCATTATTAAACAAAGTAAAAACCATAACAATATTAATAGCAATCTTTACAATTTTAAGAGACAAAAAAGTAATATTATTTATATAAATAGTCAAAGTTGTATTGATACTTTCAATTTAGTATTCAAAGTCAATTTCAAATTAATTTATAAAAAATAACTTAAAATAATAATTGATCTATTTGATATAATATTTTCAAGATTTAAAACAAGAAAAATATTAGATTTAGTTTTAAGAAAGTTAAAGTATACTTTAACAATATATACAATAAATATACAAATTAACTTATTAAACAAATTATCCAATTATTAATAATTATATGAACTTTGATAAGCAGCAAACATATATAAATACTTATTACCTAATATAATAAGATAATTAATATAATCTTTAAAAGTTTTATTAAAGAAATTAATAAAATAACCAATTTGAAAATATGGATTGAAATTAAAAAAATATAATATTTATTTAATTGTCAAATTAATTAATAAAAAAAAATTAGTTAAAAACAATTCTAGAGTAATATTAAGTTAAATAAGTTAATTATATTTTTTTAAAAATACAAAAAAAAAAGCTTTTGGATTAAACTAATATATAATAAGCTATTAATATTAAATAGACTCAAAATAAGAAAGCCTTAATTATAAAAAATATTTTACAATTGTAAAATCTATAATATAGAGTTCAAAATTAGAAACTATTTTTTATATATTTAATATTAAAGAAATTCAACAGTAAAATTTGATCCATAACCATAGAAAAATTTAAAAAGATCTTAAAAAACTTATTGAAAACTTGTCAAATATATTATATACTATTAATATAAAACTATTTATATTTTATTTGATTTAAAAGATTTTTAAGAAAAAAAGCAAAAGATTGAATTTTACAATTAAATTAATATTAAAGAATCTAACTAAAGAAATTCAAAACCTGATAAATATAAAACAAGTTAATCAATTCAAAATATAATAATTATTTATAAAGTTATTTTAAACTTTCAAAAAAACTTTAAAAAATTGATATAAAAATATAAATATAATATTATAATAGAAATTGATCAAATTCTGAACTTGAATCTAAAAATAAAAAAACTTTAAAATAATTTGAATACAGAAAATCTTAATTATATAAATTATTATTATTAATGAAATATAAAGTTAAATTTTGAATTAAAAAATTTCATACAAGGACCTTCAAGAAAATCAAATATTTTCAAAAGTCAACTTTCAAGTAATTAAAATAAAAAAAAGAAAAAAAAAAATAATATTTAATCTAAAAATATATATTAACAAAGTGAACAAAATTAAAGAATTAATATATGAATTTATAGAATATAATAAAAAATAGCTAATATTAATTAAAACTTAATTTGAATTTATAATATATAATTTGTAAAAAATAATTTATAAGCTATTATTCTATTAAGCAAAAAGAATCTTAATTTCAATTAATAGATAAGCAATATATTATTTCTATAAATTGCATATAAAAACTTAATATTGTAGATAGATAAATTGGATTGAGAAAATTTATATATACAATTTTAATTTTAATGGTTCACTATAATTTAATAAATAAATGATTTCAATCTAATTGAGAGTTTAAAAAAAATAATTATTATTATAATTATAAATTACTTTTTTAATAAAAATTATGATTGCAGGTTAAAATAATAATAATAATAATTAATTTTTTATCAATAAATTTTATTAAAGTATCGTAGATTTTACTAAATTTAGTTTCAAAGTAATTCCATTATGACCTGTAATTGGTTTTTTGAAAAGAAAAGTCGATAGAATTGTGTAAAACAATTATGTTCGTAGATCGTTACTTAATATGGTGACCAAACATACATATTTAACTGATTCGCATCAATGTTTTGCACAAAAATTGATGGCGGAGTCTTCTGGAACCACCTCTAGTTATTCCAATTCTAATCGAACAAAATCATCACAAAAATATTCAAAGAATAAAAAGTCAAAGTTAACTTCAACATGGAATAAAAAATATAACGATTTATACAAAAGCCATTCTTATTTAATGTTCTTTTGTATATGGATTTTGTTACTTCATTTCGGAGGATTATATTTATTTACCAGAGGGTTTTTACTTACAAGATTAGTCTTGGATGACCATAGCGAATGTTCAAGCCCCCCTTTGTGGAATTATGATAGCGATGTTAACAATTCTGATCATGATCTAAGTAGAGGGTATGACTACCCTTGGAAAAGTACAGTGGCCGGACAAAAGTTGATAGCCAATGACCGAGAACATGTAAATATAAGATACGGTAGTTGCTGGTATCCTTCTCGATTTAAAAAAGCAGTGATTATACTTATAGATGCACTCAGATTTGATTTCACAGTTCCACATAGTGACGATTCGTCTAATAATTTTCATTATCTAAATAAACTTCCTATACTTGACCACCTTCTCAAAACATATCCATCCAATTCTTTGTTATTTCAATATATCGCCGATGCACCAACAACTACTTTACAACGTCTTAAAGCTCTTACAACTGGAACCTTGCCAACCTTTATTGATGCCGGAAGCAATTTTGCAGGATCGGCCATAATTGAGGATAACTTGATTTATCAACTTCGGAGTCAAGGCAAAAGGATTGCTTTTATGGGAGATGATACTTGGCTATCCCTTTTTCCAGATCAGTTCTCTCCTAATATGACAAATCCCTTTCCTTCCTTTAATGTTTGGGATCTAGACACGGTTGACGAAGGAATATTAAATCTATTGGGACCGACTTTAAGAAATGGTGGTAGTTTGGAAAACTCGGATCCAGAATCACAGTGGGATGTACTCATCGCTCACTTCTTAGGAGTGGATCATTGTGGACATCGCTATGGGCCAGATCATCCGGCCATGGCAAAAAAATTAGGACAAATGAATAAGATGATAGATGACGTTGTTAAAGATATTGATGAGGATACGGTAGTCCTAATAATGGGTGATCATGGAATGGACTCAAAGGGAGATCACGGTGGTGACAGTGATAATGAAGTAGAATCTGCTCTTTTTGTCTACAGCAAAAGGCAATTGGTATATGACTCAAGTACAACAAATATTCTTTCACGAATCTACGAGAAGATGGACGAATTTGACGTACACGGGATAAAATCTTTTACCTCAAAGTATGGCAGATGGAGAAGTATTCCTCAGATTGATTTTGTGCCAACTTTATCTCTTTTATTAGGAGTCCCTATTCCCTTTAATAATTTGGGTTCCTTAGTACCTGAGATGTTTCTTTCTGTTCCTGAAAAAAACAAAGAAGATAATAGCGTAGAGAAGCAATTGATTGGATTATTGGATGTTATAAGGCTTAATGCAATGCAGGTTTATCGGTACACCATGGAATATTCGAAAAAACGGCCGTCTGATTTTTCAAATAATTTACATATCGTTGGGAATATGTTTAATAAAGCTGAAGCAGAATACAAGTTATTAAGAGGTTCATCTGATCGACCAAAAATAGAGGATTTAGAGAATTTAATAGTGCTTTACATGAGCTTTTTAAGGAATACACTACTTATTTGTCGACGAATATGGGCTCAATTTGATGTTGCATTGATGATATCCGGAATTTCGATTCTGATAACGAGTTGTTTCTGTATCGGTTTACATCTTGCACAGAGTACGAGGAAGCATACTATCTTCTGTAACCATGCGGCGGTAAGGCATGTCTTGGTAGGAGGAAGTTTTGGTGCAGTCTTTGCGAGATTAGGTTTTGTTAAATTTATAATAAGCTCATTATTAAACGATTCAAGCTTCTCAACTTTCGATATTATCATTATCGGTGCATCAGTCGGATCAGTTTTTGGCTACGTAGTTGAATTTATGAGATTTGGAATTTTTCCAAATATACGAAAAAAGTT